GGAGGCCCAGAGAAAAGTCGTCCCACAGTGAGGAACTCTTTCAGCCCGGTCTCCCCATTGCAGGCAGAGCCTGGGGTCACCCTGCTCCTGGACCAGGTGCTCATCCAGCCTGAAAAGGAAGTTGTGAGGGGAAAAGCCATAGGTGGAGGGCCCAGCATTCTCAGTGAGCCGTGCCAGCCAGGATAAGGGTTTCATGACAGTTTTACTTATTGTACTTTTTTTAATCGTGAAATGAAAGATGGTTTGGGGGCCTTTAATTGAAAAGACAATTGTGTCCAATTAGTACCAAATTAGGTTTTTGTCTTTATAGAGGTGAGCAGACCCGTGAGCAGTTTTGAAATGGATGTGTGCAAGTCCACAAATGATCAAATTCTGGTTGAGGGTTAAAGAAGCGATTACTCTGTCCTTTATGCTGGCAGCTCTGTTACGGATCGGCCTGCTGTCAGTGTTAAAAAAAAGGTTTGGCTCCTTCCGAGCCCTGAGCATGCGGCTCTGATATTAATGCAGCGCCATCACACTGTTCATTAAGAAATGACTTTAAATGAGGTTGGAGCGTGTATATTTGGAAAGATACAGATGTTAAATGCAGTGCTTTTTCTCTGCGTCGAGTCGTATGGCTAACAGTTTCCAAGTGGCTAAAGCTCTTGTGAGCAGGCACGCTGGGGTGAAAGAATGGGCCTATAAATAACTTTAAGAACTGAAGTTGAAGGTGCTTCTTTTAAGGACTATTGTTAACTAAACATTATTGCCAAACAGATGGAAAGCACTCACCAGCCTGATGTTTTTAGGCCTAATTATATTATCACCAGCCCTGTACGGCTCAGTTGAAGAGGTGTATCCAGAGGCCAATTTATAATCATTTAGTCAACACCTGTTTGGGAGAAACTGACAGTCAAAGGGCACATTTCAAAAAAATCGCATATGTTCTTGTGTTCATTGCCGCAATGTGAACGGTGTCTAGTCGTACACAGACCGGGAAGGAAGGAAGTCTGTGGAAACATAGCAGCTTTCCGGCTGCCAGATCCATCTTCATTTGGCCCCTTTATCCCATCACTTCATGCTTCATGGCCAGACGAGACCTGCAAAGAGATCGCGCCTGATTTACACCTGCCCGGCCGGCCCCTGCCTTAGTGCGATTTCCCCCCTGTCCTGTGAGGCCGGTCTCATCCAGGTGGGATTGGCCCCGGGGACTGCGCAGGTTAGCCCTGGGTTTGCCTCCTCTGCAGAGTGGACTGCGGTTGAAGGCCAGTGTCTAGCTCCTGTTCTTGCTCGTGTTCCTCTAAGGTTCCCCCCGGATGCAGCAGGGGTGAAGATGGTCCCAGGGGAGGACCTGGGAGAGCACAGTGCCTTCTCAGGAGGTCGTTTTCCTTCGCAGGCAACTTGGATTTGTTGTTGGACGCTTTGTCTGGCCGTCCCACTCTTCTCCCGCTCCTCTCAGCCTGCCTCCTCTGCTGTCTGCCAGGAACACCTCCCTGGGTTCAGCTTCTTCCAGACTCTCACCTAGACCTCAGTCTTTGAGGGGTCGGGGCAGGCCCCCGCCCATCAGCCCTGCGGGTGTTGAGAGCTCGGGGGCAGACTGGGTTGGCTGTGAGCTACCCTAAAGCTGGCGGGCTCTTGAGAAGAGTTGGGCGCACTGACTTTGCTCCCCAGCACCGCCTGTGGGCCCCCAAGTCCCACCAGGAGTGAGCCCTGAACACGGCTGGTTGTGCCTCCAAAACAAAAACCAGCGTAGGTCTGTGGCATGTGGCATGAAGCAGGAAATTCAGTCGGCTCCTTCTCAGTTTCTGGGGTGTACGTCTGTCTCTGTGTGTGTGCGCACTCAGGTACACACACCGTACCGTGTGGTCCTGGCTCTGGTTTTGGGTGTCGCTCTTGGAGGTGTTGGGAGGGCCTTGTGGTGCTGGGGATGGGCTGGGGTGGGCCACATGCAAGACAAGTATCTGACCCGCTGCTGTCCTCTCTCTCTGGGCCTGGGGAAACCTGTTCCCCGTGCTGGGTCCTGACTCTTGCCTGAGTCACCTTCCCCTGCAACCTGCCTGCCTCCTGCCGGTGACAACAGGACCCACCCACAGCTTCCCGCCGATCTCCCCCAGCAGATGGAGCCTTGCTCCTGCAACCTGTCAGTGCAAAATTCGAATCTGCTTGGGGTGGACAGTTGCTGACGGGGGTGAGAACTACTGGGATTGGAGTCATCACTATTGGGGGTGGATAAGAAGGGTTGTATGTGTGTATAATGAGAAATTGTTACTGTGTGTGTGAGATGAAAAATTGTTACTGTGTGAGAGATAAGTTGGTAACTGTGTTGAGAGAGAAGTCACTACTGAGTGTGTGAGATGACAGCTGTTACTGTGTGTGATGAGGCTGTTGCTGTGTGTGGGGATGGGGAGTCAGGGAGGAGGTGTCGCTGGATCTGGGGCAGGACTGCATAGACAGAGTTGCGAGGCTGAAGTTGCATGGAGCTGTGGTCAGTCTGGATGAGGAATGGTTCGGCAAGCGAGTAGCAGCCGGGCAGAAGGCCGGGCTGTTCTGTGGGATTAGCTTGTGCCTCAGTGCGGTCCTATCCTTCGGCGCAGATGGTGTTTCTTCAGCTGCCTGACCCCGGCCCCGGCCCCCATCCTCTTCTCAAGCTCCCACACTCACAGTCCTGGCTCCTGCCCGGGGCAGCAGTCACACAGGGACTGAAGAGCAGGCGGACTGGGGGTCCAAGTCTGTCCCCGCTCCCTCTCACCTGCTTGGGGAAGCCAGCAGGCCCTGGGGGAGGTGGCCTGCCGGGCACACGGTTGCCGGGGAGCGTCAGGAGGTAGACAGAGATGGCAGCAATGCCTAGACTTTCGGTTTTGGAGTCTGTGAACTGACAGTTCATTATGATTAGATGTTGGATCTGAGGACCGAGAGGGCTCTGTTTCCAGTTACTTTTCCAAGTAAGAGCACACTTCAGTGGTCTCTTCAGAGTCCTCAAAAATGAGTCTAGACTAGAGACATTTATGGCTGAGATCCGTTGTTTTGCCTGGGGATGCAGCAGGGGTCTCACCCTGCGGGTGACTCTCTTCCGCCCACTCATAGGCCCTCACCCTCCCACCCCGAAATTGTTTTTAATTATAGAGGTCTTGTAAGGAAAAGTATTTAAAATAATCCTTATTTTTCTTCACTATTTCTTATAAATTATTAAGAAAGAGTAAATGCAAGATACCCAGTCATGTTTTAAAAATACGGCATTCCCTGGCATCCTGTATGGTTCTCAAGGCAAGTGCCTTACCTGATCTACAATCTATTTAGTCCGGGAGTGATATCTACCTCTCCAAAACAAAGAATATATTTCTCTCTCTCTCTCTCTCTCTCTCTCTCTCTCTCTCTCACACACACACACACACACACACAAACACACACACACACAATATGGCATTTATAGAAACGGAAACCCTAATAAAGCCCACTTTAGGTAAGACAGTTTTCATTCTGTGATTGAGAGGCTTTAAAAATTGATCCATATCCACTTGCTCCCCCTTAGCGGCTCGGTGACCACCATCTGCCAGAGACCATTGGACAGTCAGGTTTGGGCCCTCAGTGACAAGACATGCAGGGCCTCACGGGATGGGGGTGGAGCCAGCCCTTTCCTCCCCATCCCAATGAGAGCCCGAGTCACTACCCATGAAAGGCCTCTCTGGCTCCTGATCAAACCGTTTAAATGGCCATGATCCCAGAGACTCTCAAACAAATCTCGAAACCCAGCGGCTTTTGGCAGAAGTGCGTCTGGTCCCTGCAATAGGTTACTGGTGCTGGGCTACCCCGGGTGAGAGTAGGTTTCGTGCCTTGGCCTGTTCCCCCTGGTGGCCAGGTGGCTGCCATCTTCCAGAGGCCACTGGACTGTCAGGTTTGGTCCCGCAGTGACAAGACGTGGGGCCTCACAGGATGGGGGTGGAGCCGGCCCTTTCCTCCCCACCCCAACGAGACCCCAAGTTGTCACCCATGAACGGCCTCTCTGGCTCCTGATCAAGCTGCTTATTGGCCATGATCCCAGAGACTCAGAAACAAATCTCGGAAACCAGTGGCTTTTGGCAGAAATGCGTCTGGACCCCGCAGTAGGTTATCATCGCTGGGCCACCCCAGGAGGGAAAGGATGTTGTCCCTCTGCCTGCTCCCCATAGGCAGCTCGGTGGCCACCATCTTCCAGAGACTCAGGAACAAATCTTGGAACCCAGCAAGTTTTGGCAGGAGTCCCTCCAGATTTAAGTGTTAAAATTTCTGAATTTCAAAATTGCGTGGCCACTACCGCAGCTATGTGACATCATATGTTATTCTTAACCAGCAATAGAAAACAAATTGCCTACTGTTGCCTATTCAGCAGATCTGAGTGTTGGGGTCACCGTCACTGTCACTGTCCTCCCGTTGTTCATCGATTTGCTCGAGCAGGCCCAGTAACGTCTCCATTGTGACAATTATTACTGTGTTTGGCATATCGAATATGTCACGAGTAGCTTGCCAGGCTTTGCCGTGTGGGCGAGATACTCTCAGTAGTTTGCTGGGCTCTCCGAGAGGGGCGGAGGAATCAAACTCGGGTCAGCCATGTTGGCCGCTTGCAAGGAAAATGCCCTACTAGCTGTGCTATTGCTCCAGCACCCCAAATAATAATGGTGGGTCTGGTGTCAAAATACTAAATGTGATCAAAGTAGAGAGAGAGTAATGTGGAAATCATCTGCCCCACAGGTAGGGGGTGGGTGTGGGATGGGGGTATACTGGGGTTTGGGGGGTGGAGAATGGGGACTGGTGAAGGTATGGGTGTTTCATTGTATGATTGAGACTTAAACCTGAAAGCTTTGTAACCGCTCTCACGGTGATTCAATAAATAAAATTAAAAAATGAAAAAAAAAGGGATCCAGAAATCAGCAGTCTGAGGGGAGGTCAGTCCAGCAGCTTCCTCTTCCATCCTTTTGGCATAGTCTCAGAGGTTGTGAGTGAGTGTGTCGTGCTGGGAGTAAGTACCATTCATATCTTTCATGTAGGTCTTACTGGTAATGGACACAAGGACAGGACAGACGTTCATCTTAAAAGTAAGTACAGTTTGTGTTCTTAATGATGTAAACTTTTTTTCCCCAAACTCTGTTCTGAGAGAAGGCACCCAGGTGTCTCTGGTGAGGTTGTTCACTTCACCTACTGTCTGCCAGTCACAGCTGACACACAGGCTGCAGGGTGATGGTGAAAAGGAAGCGGGGAGTCCCGGCACAGCTCCACGTTGGCATGGTTTAGTCACGCACATGATTTGTGATATTCGTATATGGTCCCTGATGTTCACACGTGATCTGTGACAGTCACACACACGGTCTGTGAGGATTACCACAGGGTCTGTGAGATCACACACACTATCTATGACAGTCACACTCATGACGATCTGTGCCCATTACTAACACTGTCTGAGAGGATCATCATACACATGGTCTGTGAGGATCACCACTGTGATGGTCACAAGCATGGTGTGTGATAGTTACATTGTCTGTAACGGTCACGTCTGTAATGGTACATGCTGTCTGTGACGCTCACACATACTCTTATTTGAATCGTGACTGCAGCGCCTAAGAGCTGAATCTTGCCTCAGGCCTTTTGTAACCAATTTTTGCTCTAAATTCAATTTTAATTCTATTTATCACTAAATGAACAAGGAGAGAAAAATCCCGTTTTCTGATTTTGAGACTGAATTTGAAATGAATCGTGACGGCACCTCCTTTAAAAATACTCTCATTTAAGCACAGCCACAGCCTCTGGAGTTAATTAGTTCCCATTAGCCTAATATTTCTGTGCCTCTACTTGTCAGCATGGCAGTAAGTCACATGGACCCATCCTGAAACAAGTGTCTTTTTGGGAGGAGATTTGGCCTGACTTCTAGCTCGGGTGTAGCCCCAAGCTCATATGCCCATCTCCTGCGCTCCAGGAGAACCCTGAGGTTCCCAGTGTTGTCAGGGGCTCAGTCTGACTCCTTGTGCCGATCCTGCATCTCAGGAACTGGATGGTGTCTTGCCGGCCTGGGCAGCACTTTTGGGACCAGGAGCTGGAGGCAGGGGACCCGGGAAGAGCTCAGGGGCTTGGCTGGAGCCTTGCTGATGGGGACTCGACCCATGACATTGCAGCACGGTGGCATCTTCTGTGCCTGGCGGTATGCCAGGTGCTATCAGTAGGGCCCCTGGGACAGGGCAGAGAGTGGCAGCTGAGTGGGGGCTGGTCTGGTTGCTGGACCCCGAGCACAGCACGCTCCAGAGGCAGCTGGGGGCATGACTGACCTTCGTGTTTTCTCTCAGGGCCTGAGGAAGAGCAGCGCGGGCAGCGGAGGCAGAAGGACCATCATCCCCCGCCGTGTGCCCCACATGGTGCGTCTGCACAAGTACATTGTGTCCGACGAATCTGTGTTCCTGGTGCTGCAGCATGCTGAAGGTGTGTGTGGACTGACCTCTCCCCGGCGCTCAGCTTGGACCCGGAGCCCATGCCTGCGGGGGGCTTTTGTGTCTGCAGCGAATCGAGCACACCCCTGTCTTGCCTCCCACCCGTCATCCAAAGAGGATGGGTTCCTTCTTCCCATCTACCTGTGGGACCCCGGGGGCTGGTGTGGGCTCGGCGTTCCTGAGGGCCTTCTACCTCCGCCGGTACCTCTGACATGCAGCTCTGTGTCAGGCAGGGGTTTAGTCTTGTCTCTCGTTCATGCTAGATGACTCTGATGTTCACAGACTAAAATTAAAGGCATACCCTGAAGAATTAATTAATTCCCTCCTTTTTTAGAAGGACCTGGTATTTGCTTACCATTTGACACCGCCTAGTTATTCCGACGTGAGTTCTTACTAATACAGCATCAGCACTCCATAGGTGCAGAGAAACTCTCCTCTGCTTTCAGACTCTTCAGACTTCTCAGCTCATAGGAGAGGGAACAGGTGGGCCCCAAATGATATTTTGATTTGTTTTTGCCCTTTTCACATGTGGATTTAAGTGTATTTTATTTAGAGTCACAGTACAGCATTTAAATACAGATCACACATTGAGTACTACTTTTCAGGGTTTTAAGAGGTGTTCTTAAATTAGTAAAACATTATTTCGCACATTTCATGAAGGTGTTATTATTTTTACATCATTGAGAAAAAAAGAACGTGGGTGCTTTGCTAATAAGGCATAACCTGTGAATTCAGTGGATTTTCCTGGGAAAAGGTGCATTGTGGAATAGGTAACTCCTGCGAGATTTTGACGGGGGTGATAAACTATTGATATTTTTTATTGTGAAGTAGGCCGGGGCCCCATCAGATGGAGGGAGGCCTCCATATGCGATATTTAATAGGAAATTCAAAAGGGGCTGTGTGGTCTCTCAGGTATTAAGAGAGTTAATTGTGTGTGTGAATTGGATGACTAATTCACCTTTGTTCTGACATTATAGACGGCTTTTATCTGAGGATCCCAGTGCATTACAGACATTATTGAATTAGAGGTCGTGTCATCCGATCGCCAAATACAGCCACCTCTGGTGTGGAGCTGAGTGACTCGTGTAGTTATAATCCATAATAATTTGGAACAAGGTCAGCAGGATGGAAGTGATCACAGTCATGGTTCTGTGCCCAGGGTGGGTCTTTCTGTGGTGTTGTCTGGGCCCTTCAGCCCGAGACTGTCTCTGTCCAGGCAGCTTCTTCTTCTTTTTCCTCCTCCTCCTCCTCCTCCTCCTCCTCCAAACCAGACTCCGTTTCCTTCGTCGCGTTCCCGCTTTCTCTGCTGCACCCTGAAGCTGACAGTTCAGCTGATCTCATCTCACCTTCATTCTCAGAAAGCCCCTTGGGTCGAGAGAGGCAGATCCCAGCCTCCCAGGACTTCGGAGGGCCCACCCCATCCTCCCTTCTTCACTGCTGTCTGGGTCTGACACTGGAGCGGGAGGAGCATGTCGTGTCGGGATGGTTGGAGGCATCGGGGGTGGCAGAAGTAGGAGGCTCTGACTATTGAATTCTGGATTATTTCGTTGAGGTGGTGATAAGAGAGGAACTTATTTGACCCTTCAATTCAGATGTCTGTTGTTTAAGAGGATTTTACGATACAATAAAGTTTTCCTTGTATCTGGGGATGCTGGGGTGGGTGGGGGCACCAGAGCTATGGCTGGTGCTCAGGGAACCATGCATTGTTAGGGGTTGAACCCAGGGCCCCACACATGCCAGGCATCCCCCATATCCGGCCCAGCCCCCCCCCCCCCACACACACACACACTTGGTCCCTACATCTGACCCAGCACTCCATATCAGGCCCAGCACCCCTCCGCCCGGCCCCGCACCTCCATACCCGGCCCAGCATCCTGATGTCTGGCCCAGTACCCCGACATCAGGCCCAGCACCCAGACCAGGCCCAGCACCCCAAACAGGCACAGTACCCCATTACCCAGCTCAACATTGTCTGTCTGTACCTTCTCCCCAGGGCCAGATCCAGCTTTCCCAGTGTGGCCCCGACACTGTCCCAGGATCACCCACCTGGAGTCAGGGTGAGGGCCCGTGGCTGAAACATGTGGTACTTGGAATGAGGCCAGGCCGGTGGCTAACAAGACTCAAGGATGTTACTAAGAGGGAACCGTGTGTTTGGAGGTATAGACTTCATCACTTATTCAACTGCTCCCCAAGTTATTTAGTGGTTAGATTGTTCTCATACTTTTGCCCGTAGGTCTATGGGCGTTTTTGTCAGGGTCCAGGACTGCGTGGGTGCCCATGACTGGCCATGGAGCCAGTTTCCTAATTCATACTTTAAAGGAAACACAGTTTATCTTGTTCTGTTCGGGGCTACACCCAGTGGTGCTCAGGGCTTACTCCTGACTCTGTGCTCAAGGCTCACTCCTGGCAGGTTTGGGGGACCATGTGTGATTCCAGAGGATTGAACCCAGGTCAGATGCCCTCCCCGCTGTACTGTCACTCTGACCGCATTGTGTGGATGGTTTTATTTTGATAGAAGCTTGTTAAACAACAGTAGAGGAACCTTTCAGAACTTAATCTTGCTCAGTACCCATCATACACAACACTCACCGTACTCAGTACTCATGCTCAGTGCACACTGTGTTCAGCACCCATCGTAATCAGTGCTTATTCTGCTTGTACTCATCAGACTCAGTACTCACCATGCTCGGCCCCCTGTCATACTTCGTGCTCATTACACTTAGGGTTATATGTGAGAGGTTCAGTGCAGATGCATTCTGGGAAGAGAAGAGGGAGAGGTCTGAGTCCTGGGGTGATCCTGTCTTGTGCCGGGTATGGGGCACGTGGACAGAGGGCTCGGGGAAGTGATCCGTAGGTTACAGGCCCCAGGCCCAGAGGGAGGTTCCCTGGTGGCGGGCTGTATTGTTTGAGACTCAGGAAGGACATGGAATGTCAGCATGGCTTCAGCCTTGCTCCGTGGGACCTGGCCAAAGGAATCAGAAGAGGAAGACCGTGGCTGGGTTCCGTGGGCTCAGAAGCTTGTCTGATACAGGAAGCCCGGGAGAAAGGGTGACTGAGACATCCAGCCACGTGTCAGCGGGTCCTGGTGGAGAGGCTCTGGGGCTGAGGGGGATTGTCTGTAGTGGCCAGTGTTGCTCGGGTGGGCTGGTCAAGGGAGGAATGCAGCGTTTCTTAGCCCGTTCCTGGAGCTCTCTCTGCTGTCTCTGAAACTGCAGAGATGTCAGCTCTGCGGCCCATGCCCCCTGCCCTGCCCACGACTGGGAGGAAGACTCTGCCTCTCCTCAGAGAAAGCACTGCTGCTGTGTCATGGGCCATCCGGACGGTGCCGGGCAGTGGTGCTGGGGAGGTGTCCTGCTCGGTGCCATCACTCCCAGGGCATCAGGGGGGTCTGCTGGGCACAGTTCATCGTGGCCCGGTGTACTGTCTCCTCCAGAGCAGGTTAGGGATGTACCGCCTGTGGGCTGAAAAGGCTCGTGAAATAGTGCTCGACAGGACAGACACTTCTTGTAGGCTGCTGGCCTCCACTGATGGTGGAAATGTCCACATGGTCCCTGGCAGAACAAGGCTCCTTACCCCGCTTTAAAGGAGTTTTAAGACCAAAGAGAAGAAGATCGACTTTCAGACCTGTTTCCCTTGCTATATGATGCTGAATAATGAACGTGCAAAATCTCCTGAAAGGAGTCTTTGCGCAGGAGCGGGCCTCAGCACCTTAGTCTCCTCATAGGGAAAGTGCCACTTAGATCTTTGCTAAGTTTGCTTCTGTGGTGACTGGTTAAGATTTCTGGAGCCAACTCCACTTTCTTGCAGAACAATTGTAATCAGTTTAACTTTGGCAGTTGGTTAGTACCTGTTTTATAGTTTAAAGTATGTAATGATTCTAGTTAGGAAGAGAAATTGGTTTTTTAAATTAATTTATGTTGGGGGGTAGCACCCAGTGGTGCTGTGCTCAGGGCTTACTCCTGGCTCTGTGCTCAGGGGTCACGTCCAGTGGGCTCAGGGCACCATGTGTGGTATCAGGGATTGAACCTGGCTTGGCTGTGTGCAGGTGCCCTCCTGGGAGCTGGACTGATCACTCTAGCAGGTTTTTATTGGTCTTAACCAATAAAGGAAAACTAGGCTAAAGTTAACTACCCAAGAGTATTGCCGGCAAAGCATTGGTTTCTGTGACGTTGTTGGGATTTGGTTTCCATAGGTGTCTGGTACACATCAGAGCACAGACTTGGATGGCAGTGGCCTGCTTCATCCGTGATTGCCTGACTGCTTCATACCTGCCCCCAGCTCCTTTTCCCCAGTCCCCCCAACTGTTTTCACTTTGTATGGGGGAGGAAAAGTGGGACAGTCTGGCCTGGTCCCCCCCACTCCCCGCTGAGCCCCGAGGGCTCCCGCAGTCTGAGGAGCAGCGGCTTAGGCACTTCTGCAGGGACTAGTGCCTGTACTTGAAACAGTTTCTGCATAAACAGATGTTTCTGCTGCTCCATCACGGCCTTTAAAGCCAAATACTGAGCTGTGAGGTTACCTGTGAGGTTACCTGGTCGTATTTGTCAAGATTGATTTCCCCGCAGAGGGAGACAACTGCTGTCTTGTAAACGTGATTGACACCAGCCTTTCAGGTGGGTAGGGACGGAAGGTGTTGGGGCACAGTGCTTTTCCATCCTGCGTGAGAGAGTATGGCCTTGTCACCTTTGAGTGCTTTCTAGGAGACTTGGCTTCTGTCTAGTCACTGTCACTGTCCTCCTGTTGTTCATCGATTTGCTCGAGCGGGCCCAGTAATGTCTCCATTTTGAGACTTGCTGTTACTGTGTTTGGCATATTGAATACGTCACGAGGAGCTTGCCAGGTTTTGCCGTGCAGGTGAGATACTCTCGGTAGCCTGCCGGGCTCTCCAAGAGGGGCGGAGGAGTTGAACTTGGGTTGGGCTGGTTGGCCGTGTGCAAGGCAAATGCCCTACCCGCTGTAAGCTTATTTAAAGTCAAGCTTATTTACCAATAAGTAGTAATTTGGGATCTTAATAATTCTTTCATTCTCATACTTGCTTGCAGGTGGCAAACTCTGGTCGTATATCGGTAGATTTCTCAGCAGGAGCCCCGAGAATACCCTGGCGGCAGAGGCCGCAGGAGCACACAGCCTGAGGCAAGTCCCTGAACAGCTGCCCGTGTCCAGCCCTCAGGCCGCTGGGAGGCCCCTGGGAGCCTTGGCTCTGCCACTGCCACTGCGGACCAGCCTCCAGCCCAGCTCTCAAGAGGGGAGCCAACTGGACGAGGAGGAGGAGGAGGAGGAGGAGGAGGAGGAGGAGGAGGAGGAGCCCGAGGAGGAGGAGGACGGCCAAGCGAGCTCCCCCCGGTGGTCGGGGTCAGGCTCGAGTTCTGAGGAGGGCTGCACGTCCAGCTACTCCACGCTGTGCAAAGAGTACGGGCAGGAGAAGGTTGAGCCCGGGGCCCTGAGCGAGGAACCTCTGGGAAGGCCCGAGGATGGCCGGCCCACCCCACCTACTGCTGAGAGCCCGCCCCGGGCCTCGGTGTGCGGGCTCCGTCCTCCAGACAGCGACCTGGAAGTGGCCTCCTCAGCAGCCTCCCGGGGCAGCCCCCTGGACTTCTTCCGGATCGACAGCAAGGACAGCGCCAGTGACCTCCTGGGGCTGGAGTTGGCGGAGAGTCCTGGTTACCTGCCGTCCCCCGCCACACGCCCTGGTGGGCACGAGGTTGACTCTGTGCCTGTCATTTCTTTCAAAGACGCTGCATTGGACGCCAACCCTGCAGCTGAGGAGGGAAGGCCCGACCTCCTGGTCAATCTGCCGGCTGGACCGCAGGCAACCAGGGTGGAGGCCATGGGCCCTGCCCCCTGCTCGATGCCACCTCCGGGCCTGGGGGACAGCCGACTCCTGGAAGCCCCTGACGTACTGTGCCTTGGCCTCAGCCCCGAGCCCAGTGGAGAGTTCGAGGAATGGGCCGCCGAGGAGGGAGGTAACCCCTCCAGGCCCCAGTCCCAGTGGAGGACAGAGATCCCCCTGGCCATGGGGGGCGTCCTTGCTGGAACTGTTGATAGTGACCAGAAGCTCGGAGAGGAGGGTTCTGCACGGGGTCCCAGCGGTGCAGAAGGAAGTGGTGGTCAGGCCCCCAGCTGCCCAGCTGACCCTGCTGGACACCAGGCAGGCCCGGGCCCTTTCCAGGCAGAAGAGGTCCTGCTGTTTGCGGAGCACACGCCCGGCGACAAGGCCTTCGGAAGTCTGGGCCTGTCCCCACGAGGCCCGGAGACCGCGGCAGAGAGCTGGACAGCCCTGGCTGAAGATGGGGAGATACACCAGGTTTTTGAGGCCCTGGATAAGCAACTCGCCCTTCACGCCAGGTTCTCCATCCCGGAGGGCTGTGTGCAGCGCTGGGCAGCCGAGATGGTGGTGGCGCTCGATGCCTTGCACCGGGAAGGGATTGTGTGCCGCGATCTGAACCCAAACAACATCTTATTGAATGATAGAGGTCAGGAACTTTAGCAAATGCATTTCTTTTTATTCGCTGTTGCTTCCAATTAACTGAGTAGGCGTTTTATCTTGTAATTAGTATCTTCATTTCCTGTCTGGAGCTTCATTATCAGTGCAGCAAATTCACCCCCAGTAATAGCTTCTAGTACTTAATGATGCCATTATTCTTAATGATACTGTTTTTAGCTACAAAAGGAGTAATTACAGTTCACTTCTGCAGAAAATGGAAGAGAAAAATGTTTTGATTTCTCCTGTCGTTTTGTTTTTAGGACACATTCAGCTAACGTATTTCAGCAGGTGGAGCGAGGTTGAAGATCCCTGTGACAGCGACGCCGTGGAGAGGCTGTACTGCGCCCCAGGTCAGCGCACCCCTCACGCGTCCCGCTGGAGAGGGGGACTCTGGGCTGATGTGTGACCCGGATCCGAGCATTCCTTACAAGGTTCACCTGAAAGGGGGGCAGCGCTGGGCGGTCCTGTGTCCCGGGTCAGCGTACCCCCAACACTCTCGCCCCAACAGAAGCAAGTTCTTCTCTTGCAGTTTCTGGAGAGACAGGGCGCGTAGATCTCTCTGGCTTTCGGTGAAGAAAATGTGAGGATGGATCCTCTGGAATCCGTGGTTGTGTGTGTGTGCGTGTGTGCGTGTGAATGCGTGTGTGCACAGATAGGTGCCAGTGAGTGCCTATGTGTGCATATGTGCGAGAGTGAGTGCATGTGCTTATGCATGTGTACACACATGTGCATCTGGACATGTGCTCGAGTGCAAGTGAGTGCATGTGTGTGCCCTCGTGTCTGCCCATATGTGCATATGCATGTGTGTGCGCGCCTGTGTGTAGGTAATGGTGGAAGGAGACTGCTTTGCTTGGAATTGGTGCTTAGTTCTCTGTGGCTTTAGGGTCTTTCAAGCCCCTGAGCCTCCTTCCATGGGTGATTGGGTTGTTCCTGACTTAACACAGAATTCCGAAGGCAGAGTGACCCGCAGGGTGACCTGGGGCTTTGTGGTGAAACCTCCAGGAGTTCAGTGGCTGCTGACGAGCCCCTCCCAGAGTGGAGAAGGTGCGGCCAGCGCACCCTTCCTGCTTTCAGACAAGTAGTCTCTTGGCCAGGTGCTGGACACAAGGTCTTTTTCACTTCTCCTTCCCTTCACAGGAGGCTTTTTTTTTTGGGGGGGGGGGGGAGCCTTCAGTGCTTCTGCCATGAATGGGAAGGTCTCCGTGGGAATCCGTCCCACACCGGCCGGCGGGGCTGTTCTTGGATCATGCCTGTGCTCAGCTCTGCCTGCAGAGCCGGCCTATTCATCCCCCCGACCCTCACCCCTCACCGCTGACTTTCAGAGGGTTGCGGGCTGAGGATGTGGACCTGGCCTGCTCAGTTACTGGTCCGTGCCACATTTGATGCTTTTACTGGAGGCCTCTGTACTTTTGCTGCATAATGGGACGTGATTCTGATTATGTATTCAAGAGCTCTATTGCCTTCATTGATAAGAATTATTATTGTATTGGGCAGTTGCAAAAGATTTCAACTCATGAAGCAAATATCTTAAACTATTTCCTAAAAAAGGAAATTGAATTTCTTTTAGCACTTTTCTTTTTTTTTCCTACAAATATGATGGATTGCATTTCTTTCCAGGGTCAGTAGAGCTGGCCTGCATGTTTAGTTCTTCTTAAATAAAAAATCTTTTAGTGTTTTGAAAAAAAATAATTGGTGGTGGAGGGGGGCAGAGAGATAGTACAGCAGGGAGGGCGCTTGCCTCGCATGCGGCTGGCCTGGGTTCGATCCCCAGCACCCTACATGGTACCTTGAGTCCCGCCAGGAGTGATCTCTGAGCAGTCAGGTGGAAACACTGAGCACAGCTGGGTGTGGCCAAAAAAATGAAACCAAGCCGAAGCCTGACCAGTTGGATAGTTAATGGAATAACAAGAGTACCTTCACAGTGATTTCATTATGTTTATGTGTTTTTCATTTATTTTGATTTTGGTGCCTCTCCTGGCAGTGCTTAGGGCTCACTCCTGGACCTGTGCTCAGGGGTCACTCTTGGTGGGCACAGAGGGGCAGGGCCTCTCTGCTGTTTTTTTTTTTTTCGTAAAGTTTGATAAGAAATGACATTTTAGGTCTTAATGTATGTAAAGATTTGTCGATCATAATCAACTTGAAGGTCTTAGGATTATGGCTGAGTCTTGGAATTTCTGTAAATGAGACCTGCTAGGCCTTGATGTGTGGGCCTGGAGGGAGCTTCAGGGAAACTCGTGCCTGTGACTCCAGCTTACAGGGTCGCCACATCCCCAGTCCCTAGTCCAGCTGTCGGGCTCACACTCGGACCACCCACTCCCCTGGGTAGTCGGGAACCCCTTTCCATTAGCCTCCCTGAATGCAGTGACATACAGACCTCACACGAAAATCCCCTGTCCCAGGCATTATTGGATGGAGAGTGACCCCGTTTCTGGCTCCATGGTCACCGTGAGTGTCTTGCGTAGGGCGGTGCTTACCAGCTCTGGGGGCCATGCCTGGCCTTTCACATCTGCTTCCTTCCAGCTGGCTCCCACTGAAGCTCTATTCCCGAAACCTCACTTCTCCCAGCTGGCCAGGAGGTGGCGCTCGGCCATTGACGGATTTCTGCTGGCCCCTTCCTGGTGCCCTTCGCTGCAGGCACCTGAACAAAGCTTCAGCCCGAGCAGGCTTTGTCTGCGAGCTGGGAGAAATTCAAGCATCGAGACATACATTGGACGGTGTGGAAAGTCTCAGCCTTGCTGAGGCTGCTGAGTTCGTTCTAGCAACAGGATGAAACAATGCCAGTGGTAGCCTCAGCTGCAGTCTCATGAGTGAAGCTGCTTTGGGTCGCTTTGGGTCCTTGTGGGTCCAGGAGCCACACCGCTCACTCAGACTGACCTGCTTTTGCTTCCAGTGCAAGGGTTGGTGAAGCAAAATTTGTCAGCCCTTGTTGTCTCAAAACAGTGGCTTGGGGCTTGCTGATGAGAACATAGTAAGCCTCCTTCCCCTTCCTGGGAGACGGGACTGGCACCCTTGCCACCCTTCAGCACACAGAAGGTTGAGCTCCCCAACTCCAGCCTCCCCACCCCGGCCACTCCCGAGCATGGACAGCAGCTGCTGTTCAGCCAGAGTCCGACGTCACCAGACTGAGCTTGTTGGAAGGACGCGTGACCTCTTGCCCCCACGCCCTCCTGGGAATTCTTATCTGTTTGTCCTGAAAACATCACCCACTGCCTGTGCTTTGGGGTATCAGCCGCGGATCTTTCATCTTGTGGATGGTGTGCCTTTTATTTTTGAGAAAAATTCCAGTAACAGATTCGATTGACATGGGCAGAAACTTGGGCAAGTGCCAAGCCAGCAGGGGGCCATTATTCTACTCTATAAATAAGTTTAAAGAAGAAAAAACACACACAGGAACCTGTGAATCAACATGTTTTTGTCTAATTGAAGGGAAAGCAAGAAGATAAATTTTGAAATGCAAATGATCCCCTTCTGTTCTTTAAGTTTAGTTTCTGCCAACTTTGCGATCTTGGGTTCTGAAAAGTGACAGTCTTTTCAGTGACACCCCACGGACTCCCCACATCTTGACTTCCAGACCAGAGGAAGAAGTTTTTAAAAAAACTAACCCCCAGATTTTTAATTTCCTTTTCAAAAAATATATTAGAGGGAACAGTTCAGGCAGCAGAAAGACAAAAACAGTGGCGTTTTCTCTACCCGACATCTGTGGAGACGTGGCACACCCATCAATGGCTGCAGCTGCTGCCAGCCGGAGCCTGGGGAATACCAATGTGGGTCCCGGAGTCGGCACCCTGTGGGCCACGGGGTCACAGCAGGCTCCCAAGAAGGTTCGTCCTCAGCAGATGTGGGTCACAGGAACGGGCTCTTCACATGCTGGGAACTCAGACCAGCAGCTTGAGGACCGTGAGTGGACAGCAGCCCCAGAACATTCCCGTATTTCCCGGTCACCGTGACTGTTTTCATCATGAGACCCTGCAGAATCAAAAACCTGGAGCAAATTGGTGTTCTCCAGAAAATGTCCTTGTAGTCACCCTGGCCATTGTCCTGTTGTCATCCATACACACAGGGACGCACACGTCGAGGGTCCTAAGTGTCTTGTCTTCTGTTTCAGTGAGGACTATCAGAGTGAGTTTTCATTAATAGCATCCCAACTAAGAGGGAAAAATAGAAGTCAGGGAAGTAATTTTTCCTTTTACTAGTATTTTTTCCCCCTTAGACTTGACTCTCATCCATTAAAGCAGCGGCCAGCAAATAAGACCTGTAATATTAAGCATATGAAATGCAAAAGGCCACATCTGAAAGTTTAATATGCAATCTACATGAGTGCTTAAATTGTTTATGTGTTTGTTCTTATGCTAATCCAGTCACTTCAGCACCCGTTATCGTCTTCACAGGTTGAGACGATCCTTTCCTCCGTCCTTCACCTTCATTTTCCACCCCATTATGCGCTCTTACAAGTGCTTGAAATCTACATGGCTGTTTCTCATTGAATTCTTCTCAGGCTTGAGACTTTGTAAGTGAAAATGTGTGCAAATTGAAGAAGTCCAAAATGCATTTTAGCAAGTGCATCCCGTCTCCACGCTCCCAGATGTCAAATCACCCCTTTGCCTGCCTCTCTTCTGCGATTTCACACTTGGAAGCACCTCACAGCTGACAGCGAAAGTGAAACAGATACCGTGCTGTGGTCTCTGCAGAATTGTTTTCGAGCATAGTGCCCCATTGCGGCCCCTCACCTGCATTTCCTCTGGGGATGCTGCTGCTCCATTGCCATGCTCTGGGACAGTGCCGGGTCTGATGGCACTCTGGAATGGCTTCACGTTTGATGGTGCTCCTGATGGTGCTCCGTGGGACGGCCCCATCCCTGATGGTGCTTTGTGGGATGGTCCCATGCCTGATGGTGCTCCGTGGTACTGCCCCATGCCTGATGGTGCTTTGTGGGATGGCCCCATGCCTGATGGTGCTCCTTGGGATGGCCCCATGCCTGATGGTGCTCCATGGGACGGCCCCATGCCTGATGGTGCTCCGTGGGACGGCCCCATGCCTGATGGTGCTCTGTGGTACTGCCCCATGCCTGATGTAGCTTGGTGGGATGGCCCCATGCCTGATGGTGCTCCGTGGGATGGCCCCATACCTGATGGTGCTCCATGGGACGGCCCCATGCCTGATGGTGCTCCGTGGGATGGTCCCATGCCTGATGGTGCTCCTGATGGTGCCCTGTGGGATGGCTCCACATCTGATGGTGCTCCTGATGGTGCTCCATGGGACAGCCCCGTGTCTGATGGTGCTCCTGATGGTTCTTCGTGGGATGGTCTGGTGTCTGATGGTGCATCATGGGCCAGCTTTGTGTCTGATGATG